CACAAATGGCACAAATTATACATGCTTTATATCTAAATTTATCTTGCCCCAGAGCAAGAAATTTATGAAATGTTTGTATCCAACATGGTCATTACCAACTTGGGCGTTTGTTCCTCATAACCAGAACTACATCATTAGCATAAACCTTGATTTAGTAAGTCTCGCAACTTATTATAAAATATTCCCTTTGCTTGTTCATCACGGTCATTGGTAACCGTGTAACATTGGGTAGTAGGTAGTTAGCATGATTTGTAACAAAATATCTTATAACTCGTGAGTCGACTGGTTCCCATTTTTTTTTTAAAGCTTGTGGTTGCTTTTTGGTTGAGGAGTATTCCAACTCTTCCGTCGGGAATATCACTAATAGAGTACTGTGATACGATCTGAATAGAGTATTCCACATTCAGTCCATCTTATTGCTCGTACCAGGATTACTAATATTGGACCAGGTCTGAATGACTACTTGACTCAGTTTTCCAGTGCCCCACGTAGTTCTCACATTCCAGCACATAATTTTAGATTTTGTTTTAGCTATTTGGATCTCTCATTTCTGGTGATGAATTCCTTCAGACATTTTATCTACTACCATCATACCTTAGTTTGACCTCAGTGATTCGAAAAGGTCATGGGCTCCTTCAACTTGGCTAACTGAGGTGGACACTCTTTTTTTTCATCTGAGTTTTTCTATAGCTACACCTTTTTTACATGGACAGGTAGTTGGTCTGACTCTCAATCATAGGTTCATGACTTCTTATCCATTCTATTCAGAGCAGCCTATACCAAACATATGGGGTTCCCTGATTCACTATCTGAGGGACACAACTGGTAATTTAGGATGCCCCAGGTAAATGACATGGTTGTATGGTAACAAGAGATTGTCTACATGTATGGGAGGAAGTTGGGTTCATGTAGAACTACCTTTATCTCGGAGAGCTGAGAAAGATGTGATAGAAAAATGCTGTCTCTCTCACTGAGTGCACAAGACACTGGAGTGAAAATTGTATTTTCAAAGGAGCACAGTCACATATTTTAAAAAAGTTCACTTTCATGATGTCACCATCATGTGGAACAACTTTTCTATATCTCATCATGTCTCATGGCTTAACTCTTCTTTTTCAGATGAAATTATAATGTCTTTGAAAATAAACAAACGTTGTTTTTGTTCTCTTCTCCCCTGCTTTCTCCTAGTTCCTTGTACTAATTTTGTTTTAAAACTTAAATATGGTAACCAACTTATTCTCATTAGACCTTTTTTCACACCAACTTCTCCATACTTGTGAATGTTAGTGTGACGGCGCTTCGGGATTCCCCGATCCTGCACACTCGTAACACCCAGAACAGACTCCACCAGCCAGTAGAATAGAGAAGGTTTATTGCTTCTCCAGGATACAGCATAGCACAACACAGGTGTGATGTGGTTACAGGAGTCAGGGCCAGGGTGTCTCAGACCCCTTGGGTTAGGGGATCCATCGCCCCCTCAGCACTCAGCTTAGTCTGTTCCCTTCATGTTTCCCAGCCAGAAACTGCCTCACTCCCAGACCCTGCCCCCCAACCAGGTGGCCGTCTCAACCTCCTTTCCTTTGTCTCTCCCTCTGGGAAAAGACTTGTTATCTGCTCAAGCTGGGACTAGGTGTCTGGTCCAATACACATGTGGGTGAGTCAGTGGGAATTGCACATCACAGTGCAGGGAATCCCGGGTTTCAGAGCAGACAGCACCCCTACTATGTCACAGTTAGTTGTGTGAAATTCTTGATGTAAGTCTTTATGAAGGGTGCTATACAGAGATATTAAAACTTTTATAGCCAATAAATTAGTTTTAAAAGTAGATTATAAATATTTTTGAAATTCTCCTACATTTTCCTTCCATCTCATTATTTACATTAAAGGCCCATTTTGGATTATTAACACAGTAATGTAAACAAATCAATTTGCTTTTTAAATCTATAATTAAAATAACATTGTGTAATTTCACATTGTTTCACTGATTTGCAGGTGAAACAAGTAATACCATTCAACCCGCTCCACAGAATATCCCAGTTGTAGATCCTTCTCTTTATAAAGCTCAATCGTCAGGTAAGCTGCTGGCTTGTATGTTTTTCCTTACGACTTGCTTTGACAACAAATAGTTTGAGAAAAAGCCATAAAATTTCAGTAATGCTGACAATTTACTAATAAAGAGTATTGCTCTTTGGGGCTTGGACTGTCTTTCTGCATTTGTAAATATCTAGCACATTATGAATGTTACTTACATGGAAATGGTTTTATAACTGTTATTAATATGCTGAGATATAAGCTATTTGGCTATTACTTAAATTTCGTAGCTAACCAAAGCATGATCTGTACTTAGAATCTTGTTTTCTGAAAAGCCCAGGTGTGCAGAAAGTAGATTTACGTGATTAGATAGGCAATGTCATAGAAACAAAACTAGAAGGGACCTCGAGAGGTCAGCAGGTCCAGTCCCTTGCATTCATAGCAGGACCAAGAACCATCTGACCATCCCTAACAGGTGTTAGTCTAACCTGCTCTTAAAAATCTTCAGTGATGGAGATTCCACAGTCTCCCTAGGCAGTATATTCCAGTGCTTAACCACCCCAACCTAAACCTCCTTTGCTGCAATTTGAGCCCCTTGCTTCTTGTCCTGTCATCAGAGATTAAAGAGAATAATTTTTCTACTTCCTCCGTATAACAACATTTTAGGTACTTGATAGCTATTATATTGTCCCCTCTCAATCTTCTCTTTTCCAGACTAAACCTAATTTTTAAAATTTTCCTTATAAATCATGTTTTCCTTTAATCATTGGACCTTCTCCAATTTCTCCACATCTTTCCTGAAATATGGCATCCAGAACTGGATACAATACTTCAGTTGAGGTCTAATCAATACAGAGTGGAGCAGAAAAAATACTTCAAGAGTCTTGTTTTCAATACTCCTGGTGGATACATCCCAGAATGATGTTTGCTTTTTTTGCAAGTGTCACACTATTGACACACATTTAGCTTGTTCACTATGACCACTAGATCCATTTCTGCAGTACTCCTTTCTAGACAGTTAATTCCCATTTTGTATATGAGAAACTGATCATTCCTTCCTACATGGAGTACTTTGCATTTACCCTTAATGAATTTCATCCTATTTACTTCAGATCAATTCTCCAGTTTGTCCCAATCATTTTGAATTCTAATCCTCTCCTACAAAGCAATTGCAGTCTCTCCCAGTTTGCTATAATCCACAAAATACTCTTCCTCTGATTTGGTATTGAACTATTACAGTGATAGACTCTGTGCTACTATTTTTCAAATGAAATTTAAAAGCATCCAGTTCAGTAAAAATGATGAGTCTGGTGATGTTGCTAAATTCCGTGTTTACTAATCACTGGACATTCTACCTAAGATGGCTCCTACAAGGTCAGTGTAAAGTTGTTGTTCACTTCCTTCCTAAAATAATAACATAACAATAACAGTAATAAATAATTAATAATAATAATAGTGTTTCTGTAGTATCTCAGCTGTAGAATACCTGCCAGAGGCAGCATACGTGATTTGTAGGTAATCCCTGTATCAAATGAGGTAACTTAATATGATGTCTAATGATGCTGCCTGCCTGTTATTACCCATCACTTAAAATTTGCTTTGAATCCAAAATATGTTTTCTTATATAGTGCTGCTGTCTGTGATATTATATTAGAATACATTGCCACAGTATTTCTCTGTTCATAATCTCATTTTTCTCTCATACATATCAATTAACCTTAGCAAAAAAACCATAATTAGAGAAAGGTGGTGTCTGACCAAAAGCCAGAATCCTCCTAAATTCTAATCCTAGCACTGACACGCCACTGAACAAGTCCATTAACTTTTCTGCCAGAGTACTTCCATGTACAAAGGTGAGGTATAGTAAGAAAGGTTATGTTGCCATTTCTGTGTGGTTAGTATAATTTTATTAAACTTGGGGAAATATAATTTTGATATTGTAATTCTATCAAGAAAGAACTAATTAAAGGTTCTGTGGTACATTAATAATTTAAAATACATTGTTCTATGGGATATTAAAAGAATACTTTGCAGTCTGCTCTTTGAGTATAATTAGACTTGGAAGGATTTGATTTTTGTAGGCAAATGTCAGGAAATATCAAGAGAGAAATTGAAAAAATATTTCCATCAATAAGAATCAAAATGTACAAGTAAGCAAAGTTTAAAAAAAAATGCTGCTTGGGAACTTATTATAGTTTGATTTAAGGATACTTACTTTGTATGTTTTGATGTAATGTTGATCATTTTTGTTTTAGCTATATTCCAACATCATGGCCATGTAGACGAGGCTCCTGCCTCAGCTCACTCTACATAATTGCATAAGCAGAGCAGGTGGTGCACACACAGCCCACAGGGAACTGCAACCCAGCCCTCAAGGAACCAGACTTAGCCTTTGCCTTCACTTGGCCTCTCTGCTTCCCTTAGTCTACCTTTATAATTCACACTCTGACAAAGTGACCTCCCACAAACAAGCAAATGTTAATGAACATTATGATGGCAGCAAATGCAAATATCATGAGTATGACTATTTACAGATGGGTGAGAATCAGTCTTGTTCACTTGCGTTGGAATACGCTAAAAAGGAAACAAAAAAGGGAGGAGAAGTCAGGAGGGTTAGATGTGAAGTGAAATGAAATGAAGTGAAGAGATGGGAATGTAGGAGGAGGAGAGGGCTGGCAGAGTTTATCAGAACAAAGCAAAATTGCTTTGGTTACTTCTGTGCCCCCAGCTGGAGTGTCTGTGTGGATCCTCCCATAGTTTGGAGGGAAGGAGTGTCAGTGTCTTAAGTTATGGCTATGTAATATAACAGGTAATCTGAAGCATTGCTGAGAGGGTCAAATCAGGGCAAATTGCTTAGAACCAGGGCTACTTACTGCCCAAGACAGGGTTCTCCTCTATAAGGCACCAAACCAGTCTCACACAGCACTCCAGCTGCCAATCCTAGCCAGCAAGAAGTTGCACAAGCAAATCCCTCTAGACCTGTGTTTCTTAAACTTTTTAAGACCAAGGAACACCAAACAATTTTTTTTATAGGGAACACCAAGGATTTTTTTTTGTTGGGGGGGGGGGAGGCTTAATCCTTCGAGGGCAGCCATTCCCCAGGGAAAAGTTGTTGACCAAAAAAAGCCCCCAGAGAAAAGATATTGAGCAAAAGAAAAACAAAAAAAAAATAACAATTAAAAAAAAGTGAGACTTGTCCCTTTAAGGGTGGCCATTTTGATTTCTGTTCTCTCCGCGGCACACCGGTGTGCCGCAGAACACACTTTAAGAAACACTGCCCTAGACACTCCAGCTTTACCTGCGCCACAACCAGCACTCAACTTACACTGATGAGAGGTTATGAAAACCAGTCTCACCAACTCCAGACAGGTTCTCCCAATCCCAAAGGACCAGCCACAACCTCAGGTCAATTTATACCTCAGATCTTCTTCCAAAGGAGGATGCTGTGCCAGTCCTTTAGAATCTAAAATCTAAAGGTTTATTAATAAAAGAAAGAAAAGGTCAAGAGTAAGATTGTTAAAGAAAATCCATTATATACATCTATTGCCAAGTTCTTGATGTAGGCTCTTAGCAGAGATGTAACAAACTGCCAGCTTAAAAGTCTCTGTAGTACATCCTATGTTCCTTCCTGGCCTTCTGTCCTTAGCAAAGGTGCTTTTGAAGTGGAGAGCAAGAGTGAAGACAAGATGGAGGCACCCTCAGGATACTTTTATAATCTTGCCCATGTGGAGGGAAATCCATTGTTCTTTTAGCTGCTGGTACCTCCCAAAATGGAGCTGGTCATGACTACCAAACCAATTTATGACCTTTCTTGGTAAGGAACCATGGAATATCCAGGTGTGTCCTTCTCAGGCAAGGGGCTCTGTGCTCCTCAGGTATCGATTGGCAACCCTTAAGAGCCATTGTCCATGCAGCATTGAGCAACCACCCTTCACAATAGGTGGTCAATGCCTACTGCTGTCTCCCAGACTGAAAACATTTAAAACATAAATACAAAGCCCTTATTCATAACTTTACACACACAGATCGTACAAGCATATGAGTAGCCCAGACAAAGCCAGCATAGCATAAGTTTTCATTTGATACCTCGCATGGCCCACTTTGCACCGAATTTGGGGAACACTCACAATAGTGGGTGCAACAGTGATTTACTTACTCACATTAAAAACCAATAATGTGACAGGCTACAGTAGAGAATTTACAGTGGCACCAGTGAACCAGTGTAGCTGTGCCACTGTGAGCTGTATAATGTGGCTACTTGAAGCCGATGGAACCAAGCTTTCTCATCAGCATAATTACTCCAGCCCCCACAAGCAGCTATAGCTATATTGGTGAAAGGAGTTCTTCTGTCAACATATTTTTGTCCACACTAGCACTTAAATCATTGTAACTTTTGTCTCTTGGTGGGTGAGGGGGTTTCATACCTCAGAGACATAGTTATACGGACGTAAGTGCTAATGTAGACATAGCTTAGCGTTAACATCTAAAACTTCCGATTCCTATAGTCAAACATCATCAAACTGACTTAGTTTCTTGGTACAAATAAGCCAGAACTGTATACCACTTTTGTACATCATCTGCATGCATTAGTTTAGTCATTGTTTTTGTTAACCTGTGAATGAGTTAGTGAAGTGTTATGTGACATTTTATATAAACTGTGTATGCTCCAATAAACTGCTTTTGCCAGTGGTATAATGTAATGAAGCCACCTATACCTTCCTGTTGTACAAGTGATCATATTTGAAATTAATAATTATTTTGGTTTTCCTTATGCAACATAAAAATAATTACATGTATAAGATAGCTAAATAAATGTATACATCTGGGAACAAAGAATGTAGGCTAAATGTACATGAGGGGGGAATACCAAGAAGGAAAAACTTGGGGGGTGGAGGGAAGAATAGAGCATTGTGATGGATCATGAACTGAACATGAGATTCTAGTGAGACACTGTGGCAAAATGGATAATGGAATTCTTGGATGCATAAATTGAAATTGCAAGAAAGAGTAAAGAGATTACTTTGACACTATTTTTACTGCTG